CGACTTCCAACCTCATCGAGCTAGTGCACCAACCTACCAAGGCGGAGCGACAAGTGCAAGATGACTACAAGTATGCCAAGTTTACTTCCAAGACCTACGGCTCCCCCTACAACCAAGTTTCAACGGTTTCGACACCTCCTACAACAAAAGCTTCAACAAGCAACGGCGACAAGTCAAGTTTCAAGAAAACTTCGACAACTTCAAGTCGTCCCCCGACTACAAGCAACTTCAAGCCGAGAGCTTCATCATCTACAACTCCACCGGATGAGACCATCAAGACAAGTTCCATCAAGTGCTTCACATGCGGCGGCCGAGGCCACAAGTCCTTCAAGTGTACCAACAAGCGCACCATGATCCTCAACAACGACGACACCTATGACTCGATGAGTGAAGAGGAAATGGAGGCCCTTGAGCAAGTGGCCATGCACCGGCGCGTGAATGAGGATGAAGCTGATCAAGTCTTTTGTGACGAAGATTCAAGCCCCGCTCTCGTTGTCTCCAAAGTCTTAACACTTCAACATCAACAAGATGACCAAAGATGCCATATCTTCCACACCAAGGCGGGCATCAATGAAAGGTCCACGAAGATCATCATCGAGGGAGGAAGTTGCCACAACTTGGCAAGTGAAGAACTATGCAACAAGCTTCAATTGGTCAAGATGAAGCATCCTCGTCCCTACAAGGTCCAATGGCTAAGCGACTCCGGCACTATCCAAGTGGAGCCAAGTGGAGCACATCGTGCAAGTTTCCTTCAAGATCGAAGCATATGAAGACACTTTGGAGTGTGACGGGGTTCCCATGTCCGTTTGCCATCTCCTACTTGGACGACCATGGCAATTCGACCGCGGGATCATCCACAACGGACGAACCAATCACTATAGCTTCAAGATAAAGGGAAAGGAGTACGTCTACGACCTATGTCACCGAGTCAAGTCATAGCCGACAAGCAAGCAACCACCCATCGTGGAGGGAATGGTGAGAGAGCGAACCACCAAAAAAAGAGTGAGTGCCACAAGCCCAAATTGAGTGCCTCCACGATGAGCAACAAGAAAAACTTAGTGCTATTTGCCACCAAAAGTGAGATGAGAGAAGTGTGTGACAACCCATCAAGTGTTATGCACTATGTCCTTTTGTGCAAGGATGAAGTGTCAAAGACTAACACCTCTCACAATCTACCTTTAGTGTTGTCTTCTCTATTACAGGAGTTCCAAGATGTATTCCTCGACGAGCTACCTCGGGGTCTACCTCCACTACAAGGTATCGAACACCGAATCGACCTCATCCCCGGAGCACGGCTTCCTAACAAGGCACCTTACCGCGTTAACCCCGAGGAAACCAAAGAGATCAAACGGCAAGTTCAACAACTCATCAACAATGGCCATGTAAGAGAAAGCTTGAGCCCATGTGCCGTACCGGTAATCCTTGTTCCCAAGTGTAAGGGCATATTTATCCCTCAGTAGTTTTGGTGATTGATGACAATCCTTTTGCGGACTAATCGTGTGCATTGAGCATTTTAGATATATCATGTCTAAATACAAGATGATTTGGTGCCCCTCGAAGACTATTGAAGACGGCGCTTCTCTACGTTTCTTTTCGGTGGATTTGAGTCGTAGGAAAGCCGTACTATTAAGAGGGGGTCCGCATTGAAAAGGTTTGGGTGGAATCACACGTACACGTCTGTTCCTTTTGCACCACCTTTCCTTTGGCTCTTTGGAGCATCCTCCGTCTCTCCATGTCTCTGTAAAATGAAGGACTCCTAATGTTGCTGAACTGAGGCAGGCGGTAGTACTGCTCTCCAGAGCGGTACTACCGCAGGCTCTTGCGGTAGTACCGGGCACCAGCACGGTAGTACCGTAGGTGCTCACGGTAGTACCGCTCCTTGGGAGCGGTAGTACCGTGGCCTCAGGCCAGGCACAGCTGCTCGAGCGGTAGTAGGGGCGAATGTAATTTTTACATCCGCGCCCTACGCGGTAGTACCGCGCCTCGGGCGCGGTAGTACCGTGAGCTCTGGCCAAGCACAGCAGCATGAGGGAAGTAGGAGCGGATGTAATTTTTTACATCCACGCACTACACGGTAGTACCGCTCCGGGCTTGCGGTAGTACCGTGTCGGATTTTTGCATAGATCAAAACTCAGCGGAAGTACTCACGGATGTAATTTTTTATATCCGTGCCTTCTCAGCCTAGACTATTCCTGCCTTGCGGTAGTACCGCAAGGGGGAACGGTAGTACCGCGCCAGCGGTTCAACCGCTCCCTGTCTTAGCACATCAGGACTAGTCTTGGCCCCTATCGTGCCAGCGGTAGTACCGCGGTACGACGCGGTAGTACCGCAGGCCCGTGCGGTAGTACCGCATGTGTGACGCGGTAGTACCGCGTGTCGCAGGCTGAGTTGGTGGATAACGGTTCGATTTGTCCCTTGACTATAAAAGGGGTGTCTTCTTCCCCAAGTTGACTACCTCTTCCACCCCTAAGCTCCATTGATGCTCTAAGCTCCATTTTCACCCGATCTCTCTCCCTAGCCAATCAAACTTGTTGATTCTCTAGGGATTGGTTGAGAAGGCCTCGATCTACACTTCCACCAAGAGAAATTTGATTCCCCCACTAATCCCTTGCGGATCTTGTTACTCTTGGGTGTTTGAGCACCCTAGACGGTTGAGGTCACCGCGGAGCCATAGTCAATTGTGGTGAAGCTTCGTGGTGTCGTTGGGAGCCTCCAATTAAGTTGTGGAGATTGCCCCAACCTTGTTTGTAAATGTTCGGTCGCCGCCTCCAAGGGCACCAATAGTGGAATCACGGCATCTCGAATTGTGTGAGGGCATGAGGAGAATACGGTGGCCCTAGTGGCTTCTTGGGGAGCATTGTGCCTCCACACCGCTCCAACGGAGACGTACTTCCCCTCAAAGGGAAGGAACTTCGGTAACACATCCTCGTCTCCATCGGTTCCACTCTTGGTTATCTCTTACCTTTACTTGTGCAAGCTATATTGTGTTATATTCTTTGCTTACTTGTGTGCTTATTGTTGTTGCATCATATAGGTTGCTCACCTAGTTGCATATCTAGACAACCTACTTTGATGCAAAGTTTAATTTGGTAAAGATCGTTCTTTGTATCGTCCTTGTGTGATGCAACTCACTAGGTTGCTCACCTTGTGCTACTTGTATCGTCCTTTGTTGCGTTTGGATCTTGTATCACTCGTTATGTTCATGGATATAGCACATGTGTTGTTGCGTTTGGATCTTGTATCACTCTTTATGTTCATGGATATAGCACATGTGTGATCGTTCCCGTTGATTTGAGTGTTTCCCCTCGTGTTTCCCCTCTGTTCTTCGTGTTTTTCGTGGGATCCCCTCCAAATCGTGAAAGATCGGCCGCTAGGGTTTCCACCCTACATCACCCAATCTTCCCCGGCGGCGATGCCGACTAGAGAAGAGAAGGGAGAGGAGCACGGAGGAGCTCTGTACATATTAGGTCTAGGTTGAGTCTTGCCCTTATGGCATCTGGCGCTATGCCGAGGTGGAGCGTCCCGCTGCCGCGTTCGAGCAGTGGCTGGTGGTTAGCGGTGGCTGCAGTCCTAGCTGCACTGGTATGCCAGTTGCTAGCGAGGAGTGGGTTGCCGGCGACTCCACGAATAAGCTCGTTCGGTCCTCTGATCGAGAGGAGGTCCTTTGTTTCCTCTGCTTCCAAGGTTGCCATGGTGGTGAAGGAGGAAGAGAGGGAAGATGGAGATTCGGTTTGGGTTCAAGCTCATCACCAACGGAGACCATGGATGGCCTATGGCTCCCGCTGTTGCGGTTGATGCCGGCCATCGCCGTCAAATCCTCTGACCGAATGGCGGTCTTTCTTCTTCCTCCCGGCCAAGAGCCAGATGGGAGGCACTGCAGCTTCATCCTGGAGTTCATGGTGTGGTGCCATGGAGGGCTCGCCACACCAAGTGGTGCCGTCCCCGATGAAGACGAGTCAAGTTTCGGGCTGGAGATGCGAGGGACCCGATTGCTTTCTTCATCAATTTTCTGCGGTCCTCTTTGTAATAGTCAGGGGCCAGTTAGTGTTCTGCCTTTTCGTTCAGGGTCCTGTTGTAAAATCGTTGTGTACTACTTCTTTCTAGTCAATGCAGCTTCGGGGTCCTTCTAGACCCCTAGTTTGTTCAAAAAAATGGAACTTTGTAGTACAGGAAATGCAAATGTTATGGATGTGGTGAACGCAAGTGGTGGATGGAACGACCATGGCTTGATAACCTAGGGGCTAAGGTCAACAAAAAGTTAGCTCTACACAGTCTACGGTTGCTCGAACCATAGCAAGGTATGACAGTAAAAAAGAGAACAGAAAAGCATATAGATTTGAGACATGTAACGAACTAATAAAAACATAGGCGTCGTTACTTGTGAATTAATATAATACTACCATGTATCATAATATAAGACGTTTTTTGGTACCGTGATTAAAAAATGTCTTATATTATGATAAGGAGGGAATAGATTTCAAAAAGAAAAAAAGGGCAGCCCGGTGCATGTAGCTCCCGCTTGCGCGACCACTTCGGGTCTATTGTATGCAGCCTTTCCCTACATTTCTGTAAGAGGCTGTTTCCAGGACTTGAACCCGTGACCTCATGGTCACAAGGCAGCAGCTTTACCACTGCACCAAGGAATCAGAGGACAGTTCAAAATAAACAATAATGTTCAGTGGGACAAGATTCCAACTTGAATAACCTGAAATTTATTTATATATTTTGTTTTCCAATATATAACCATCTTGGCTCTTGGTGATATCAATATATGTTGAAGCATGCTTAGTGCCATGCTTGAGCACATATAAGATGCTCGTGCACATTGATATGCATATCGATACCAGCAAACTATCAATGCTCATGGGCTGATCACAACTATTACTCGAGTTCCATTATGCAGTATAACCTAATGAGTTAACATTACAATTATCCAAAGGCATATGATTTAGATGTTCCCAAGAACATAAGCCCAAAAGTGGCTATGGATAAAACCATACCTTGATGTTGAACAATAATGTTCTCATTTTCTGGTTATACTTATGGTAGTCTGCATGAAGAGCTTCAAACGTTGATCTTTCTAAGGAGGCTACTATTGGAACAACCTCATTAGGTGCATAAGAATTTTCATTATCCTGGAAATAGAAGATCGTCACAAGGCAAATCATCTAAGTAAGGAGGCAAGAGAACAGAACAAATCAAAGAACCTAGAAGGCTTCGGAAACATATATATCTTTTCATAAGGCAATATATATACAAATATGCACTACTTCCTCAACAATGAAGTGTAGACTAAAGCATGCACGTATGTTTAGCATGCCAAAATGAATCAAAGCAAGACGTGTGGAACTAACAGTTCATATTTTAACACAGATTACTTTGTTTTATGCCTAGCGCATCAGGTGTCTCAATCTAGTTAACCCAAGTTTCTAATCCATGACCATGTAATTTGTGAACGCCACTGCTAAAAGGGACTAAAGGGCCTATGATCCAACAATAACCATTTAAAGTAGAGGCTTGACGAGTACCAACACGAAGGGTACTGAGGAGTGAGGACGTACCCGCCCCTTCGGTTTTAGTTGTATAGCTTAGCTGGACATGCTAGGTATTTATATGCAGTTACTAATATGCATAGTAAAAGAAGGAAGTCATACTGCGCAGTTATTGACCAATGAAGATATAACAGAGTATAACATGACAGACCATTTACACTGCATGCTTCAGAGGCCAAGGCCTCAAACCTTGTTCAAACATGTACAATTTGTTCATCAGAGTAATTATCATGGGGGTGTAACAGGGAGAATTGAGCAAAAAAGTACCCAAAGAAAGGAATTACGTTTGGGGACAGATGGCAAGTACAACTTACATTTCTTGAATGAGGGAGTGCCAGAATAGTGTCTACAAATTTATCAAGCCACCAATCACGATACTGGTTACCAGTAATCACTTCATGTCTGACAAGGATGGCAAAATACTTCAGATTATCATTCACGGGTGTATCTTCTCTTCTGAATTGCTCAGATATGCCTGTAGAAGCATCTCTTGGAACATCTTTAGGCTTCAGAGGTCTCTTCCGCAAGCCTCGTCTTGATAATTTATCAGTGTTGTCACCAGGTATATCTTCAGGATCACGATCTGGAAGCCTCCCAATACGGTCTATTGTTTTCATAATAAGGAGATCAATCTGATGCTGCTTGTCATCCTCATAGTCCTTATCCGTTATTTTATACATCTTCTCCTCTCTGTGGTCATACACCTGTTGGACAATGAATCCAGGGTGTTCCTTTTTACTTGGCACCTGCTTGTGCTCAGGAATGAAATGGACCACACACATGTGCATAACTGACTCTGCTGGCACTTCATCAATATGAAAACTATAAAATAACTCCCTTGGGTCACCACCCTCTTTCTCGGCTTCTTCTGGTCTATAAAACCACTGAGCACTTACGGATAAGCTCCCATCAACTTCAATTATACCCTGTCGCAAGACAATAATATACTTTGCTATTGAGAAATAAATACTATAGCAAGTAGGCCAAGATAATGGAATTAAGTGAAATAAATAAGGAACATTAGAACAGAAACACATTCATGCAGCTCAAAATAGATGGGAACTTTAGCTCAGCATGTACACAAAATAGACAATGGCTCCAGCCATAGAACGTAAGATAGGCTTCACAAGAAGCTGCTTGATAAAAATCATGGCATACACTGTTGAACTATGGGAACAACTTTACAAGTAAATAGTGCAGCCAGCCAGCGAGCCAACATGATGTCTAGAAGGCTAGAGGCCAAGAACCAAGGGCCTAGAGCAAAACTGAGCCTAGAAGGATGGAATCAAGGTTAACCTATCACTCTATCAGCAAGGAACGATTGCTCAACTATAATTAAGAAAAATAGTTCAGCAATCTATGCAAAACTGAACAATTTTATCACACACAATTTTCTGTATTTCGTTATGCGGAAAACATCGTACATAATTTGTGTGTGTAAACTAAGCTGTGACCAGAAATATTTTATAAGACACATGCCAAAGTACTAATATCCTCAAGGGTCACAACTCACAAGTCGTAACATTGGGTCCGTAATCACATACCTTGATGATGCCGACATAGGGCTTGTCGTTCTCCAGATCAGGCGAGAACATCGCCGAATCCTCCTGCACAAGCCACCACAATCACCCACCGGAAAGCATAAAAGTTGAGTGCCTCCAAAACCCTAAAACCCCTAAAGCTCAAAGGACGAGAAAAGTAGCACGGTGGCAGCTTACGAGCTTGTAGATGTTGCCCTCGTATTCGAAGGAAGAGTAGTGCTTCCCCTCGCCAGGAACCTCCACGGGGTTGCCCAAGGGCACCGCATCCGAACCATTTCCGTCGTCCCCCTCCTCATCCGCTTTCGCCTTGTGGCCCAGCTCCCCGTCGCTGTTCTCAGCAGGGCGCGCGGGCTTGCGGGCCTGCGTCTCCTCCTCCTCGTTGCTCTTCATCTCTTGCTCTTCCTCCTCCGCGAGCTCCAGGTCCGCCTCGTCGTCATCGTCGTCGCGGTAGCGGCGCTGCTGCTTCTTGTGGCGCGAGGAGTCGGGGACTGTGGTTTTGGGCGCCTCGGGTGCAGCATTGTCGTCGTCGTCGTCGCTGGTGTACTGCAGAGCGAACCGGCGGCGCCTTCCCATTTCTTCGTGGCGACCGATTCGGGAGGTTCTGGCGGAGCAGGGTGGCAGAGATCTTAGATCGAGTCAGGAAGCAAGGAAAATAATCGCCCTTCACGATTTTACTGTACTTTGTGTACTACTCCCTCCGTTCGGATTTAGATGTCGCAACGTTTTTTTTTTTGTTTTTGCGAAAACCCCCTCCATCTATTTCCGACCGAACCCGCGGTCCTCGACCTCACTCTCTTCTTCGGCTGGCCGCCGCGGTCCGTTCGGTGCTCTTCTCCGGCTCGCCGCCACGCTGTCGCCGCGCTCTCCCCCTCCCCCTCCCCCTCCCCTCCCCACTTTCTATCGCGTCGCCGCGCTCTCCTCCCCCACATTCGGTGGCCTCGCCACGCTCCTCTCCTCCTTCCCGCGGCGACGGATTGGGTTCAAGCTTCGACCTTTGAGTTCAAGTCGGCGACGGATTCCGTCGATGCGAGGCCTTCACCGCCGCCAAGCTCCTGGCGCCGGTGGCCGCGAGCTTCAGGGGAGACCCCATCCTCTCTCCCTCCCAGATCCACCACGCACAGCTCGCTCGCGCCTGCTCCGCTCCGTGCCCCCGACGCTATGTAGAGACACCCCTGCTCTGCTCCGCATGGAGGATGCCGCTCCGCCATGGAGGATGCTGCTCCACCCCACCATGGAGGATGCTGCTCCACCCCTGCTCCGCTCCGTGCCCCCGACGCTATGGAGGACGCCGCTCCACCCCTGCTCCAGCCTCAAGGTACTCCACCCCTGCTCAAGCCTGAAGGAACAACCATGGAGCTGCTTGTGAATGTTGCGCTGTTGTTCATCTCTGAATGTTGGGCTCCATATCTGAATATTGAGTGCTCCTGCATATTCTGAATTACTAGTGCATCCAGGAATCATTTAAGTTATGAACCATTGCACATTCTGAATTTTGTTCTGCTCGTTGTGGTAGTGCTGCTGCTAGATGATGATGCCATGCTCTATGTTGTACTCGATGTTTTAGACTGCATAAAAGTTCTGCATTGCCACTGAACTGGAGCATTTTCTGGTCGCCGCCTTGCTTGCGGGTTGTGCCGGCATAGGGAGGCCACGAGGACCATGTTGGCAAGGTCGATCGGTTGGTCGCCCTACATCTCAAGTAAGCAAGGAGGGAGCTTGCTGCCATCAAGATCCAGACCGCCTTCCGAGGTCACCTGGTACTCCTCCCAATCCTGAATCCAATCTTATTGCCTTACCTACAGTAGCAATCTCAAAACTACTTAGTCCTGAATTTTGGCTACTCATCATCTGAAACAATACATACATTCTGTTTTCTTTCTTGACATTACATAGCATCCCTTCCTTTAATACCAAGGCCATCAAATACCAACTGAACAGTCACTGCCCAGTTTTTGATGATCAAAAACCAGTCCTCAACCTGCAAGTTTGTTTCATAAACTGGGCAATGGCTGATGCATTTGGAAGTTTTGACCTATAAATAGACCCCATTTTCATTTGGAACCAGCATTCTTCATAGACATAGGATTCTTGTTACATGAAGACCATCAAATGCCAAATGAACTGTCAATTTTATATCATCGATGATTAATTAAAAACTAGTCCTGAACCTGCAAGTTTGTTTTTTAATTCCCTAAATAATCTCTTCCAACTTGCAAGTTTTGACACATACAGTACTCCAAATTTAGGAGTACATCTCAAGTAAGCAAGGAGGGAGCATCTCAAGATTCAGTGTAACAAAGATTAGATTCTACAGTACATCAATGTAACAAAGATTAGATTAACTATAATTAGTCAGATATAATTAGTCAAGCTCTCTATAGAGAATACACAATATAACCAACAGTAGAGAATAGATGAATTGATTGTCAGTTGATTGTAGCACTAGCTGACCCCAAGTAAAGAAGAGCTGCTCTTTTCCTGCTGCTTGGAGGCTGCTGGTGCTCTTTTATTGCTACTTGAAGGCTCCTGGTTCTCTTTTCCTGTTGCTTGGAGGCTACTGGTACTCGAAGGGTGTTTCTGCCGCTTGAAGCAGGTGGCTGCTCTTTTCCTGCTGTTCAGAGGCTGCTCGTGCTCTTTTCCTGCTGCTTGAAGGTTGTTGCTGCTCTTTTCCTGCTTCTTGGAGACTGCTGGTACTCGAAGGGTGTTTCTGCTGCTTGAAGGCTCCTGGTTCTCTTTTCCTGCTGCTTGGAGGCTGCTGGTACTCGAATGGTGTTTCTGCTTCTTCAAGGCTGCTGCGGCTCTTTTCTTGCTGCTATTTTCCTGCTGCTTCTGCTCTTTTTCTGCTACTAAGATTGCTTCTGCCTCTTCTATAAAGGCTATGGTCTGTTCAACTAGCTCACGGTCGATAGATAGAGCTATAGGAAGTCGTCCTTCTGCCTGCCGGCGTTCCTTGTTCATGTGAGGGATCGAGTAGTTTATCGCTCCCTTGTTTCTCATTACTTCTCGGATGCATGACTGCAGCGTCACAAAGCTTCTAGGTAGCTTATCAACCGGGTAGTTTCGATATTCCTCCTCCACACCTTCTATCAGTTCCCTGATGCTTTGAGGTGCTCTGCTATCGGTGTGAGACTGGATAGACCTGAATATGCAGAGATCAAGAATGTTCATGTCGGGACTGTTTGGAGGCTGTTGAAGCAACTTAATATCCAAATCAGTCTGTTCTATGACTTGTCGGAAAACCGGGTCATCGGAAGAATATGTGGCGTGGCATTATCTTGTTGGATATAGATTGTCCGTCCTTCATCTTCGTCCGGCCAGCGCTCTTGGATCACAGGAATAAGTTTCTCACACATGTAATACCTCATTACATCTCGTGTGACTTTCAATGATTTGAGCTCGAGCGTCCCTTTATCTCTGTTTTCACTGGTTCTTTGAGCAGGAGACTTTGTGACAAAAGCCCAAATGTCGAGCTTTCCATCAAAAGTGACCTCACCACCTTTGTCGTATCTTGGTTTAGCCACGGCTGCGAGAAACATCACCTTGGTGATGCTATCCTTATGATGCAAGGTGCGCAAGGGTTGGGTTCTTCGGGAAGCAAATAGTAGTTGTTCACCTCCCCAGTCATGTTGAACCACTTTTCATCCATGTAGGCTATGTTGTCTAATTCCCATGTCGCAGACCAATAATCTTCACACATAGCCAAGCACCATTTCAATCTCTTTACAATGTTGGATAGGTTTAAGTGGGGCCTCAACTTATTAATGTGATGCCTCAAATGACCCCACTCGAACCTTGAGTGTAAGGTCATGCATCTTACACCCAATGCCTTTGACAGACCTTGCAATGTTCTCCTTCTGTTCAATGGGATTTTCACCACCCTCGACAGATCCAAATCTTTCCGCTTGCGGCCAACTCTACCTGGCTTTTGATTCGAGACATCAACTTTCTCCCCTTTTTCAATCTGTTTAAGAGCTCTTTCCCATATTCTCTCAACAGTTCTTACGGATGTATCGAGTAGGCTAGCAATGACCTCCTTGTCTTTTTTCAGAACTTGTCCATTTTGGGTCTTGATCACCATGAGTGCAAAATAAATACCATATCTCTCCTCATTTGTGAGTTCCCCATGGATTGGTTTCTGTACAGCACTTGCTTCCTCTACACCACTTGCTTCTTCATGAATTGGTTCCTCTACACCACTTGCTTCTTCCCCTGTCAAATAAGGAGCAAAAGATAAGTCATGTAGCTATTGCAAATAATAGGAGTAGATCATGGAAATGAAAATGAAAATGCAAAAGTTTTGGAGGTAGTACCTGTTGCTTCATTATTGACTGGTTCTTCATTGTTGTATCGTTGTTGACTGTTGTGTTCTTCCTGTTGATCTGCAAGTTCTGAGGCATTATCTTGTTGAGGACTCATGTTGAGATCAATCCCAAACATCATTGCGGCGGTGGAGCACTTGCTCAGGTAACTGTTCATGACCCAATAAGAAAGAACATGAAAGTTTATATGAAAAATGAGTACTCCTTCAAGTTGCCCACTCAGCACATGAAAGCAAGCTGAAAAATGGAATGCTGGCACAAAAATGAACTACTAAAAACTGATGGTACCTTTATTCTTTTCCCTGTAAAAATGATAATTTCTTGTTCTTCCCTGAAGAAGTGTTAGTAACTTGTTCTTTCCTGAAAAAAGTAAAAAGCAAATCAACACTGATAAGGTATTTTACAAAGTGATATCCTGCAGAAAAGCAAATTCCATATTTACAAAAACACAGACTAGATGTAATTTGCTCTTTATGTATTGGCGTGCAACTAATGCAAGGCAGCTAAATGGAATAAGCATCTCGCAGCTGGTCTCTAGAAAAGCATTGTCATGTTAGCCGTGTGTTCTTTGGTCACACAAATTAGCCATGCATTTACTTTATTTATTTATTTTTTACTTTTACTGTGAATGCTAACAAAACTCTGCACTGGTACTTTTTTGTTTTTTTGAACATCTCTGCACTAGTACTTGGTGCCTGGCAAAATGCCCTTTCAGAAATGTAGCTTCTTGACAGGTCTGTCATGTTTTTCACCTTCAGAAGCAAAGCAAATGAGATGCAGAGGAAGACGACTTCAATCAAGAGCAACAAAGGGCTATGTGGTATATAGAGCCCAATCTTGCAGCTTAACATCAACAGGTACACTCCAAAATCCTCATCTACATAAACACTTGTAGCATTACAAACATTATGAGGATTCACAAGTGCTAAAGGAAGTTCAGTTCACAAAAAAAGGTGCAAAAAGAAAGGGCTATGTAGAACCAATGAGCCTCCCAAAATCACTTCATCATGAGGATTTCCATGATGAAGTGATTACTCCAGTTCTTATAGTGTTTGGAGTACATTGCCTGGTGTTATACTGCTTGCAAGATTAGCATAGGTTCAGAAATGGGGATTTGCTTGATTGATTCATGCCGCAGTAGGCTAGAACCTGAACCAGATCTGAATCCAAGAGCACACTAATTGCAAACCGCGAAAGATTTTTGTATCTATCTAAGGAATCTGAAACCAAAATCTCTCTGACAGTGACACTCCA